AAAGACAAATACTGTATGATTATACTCCTGTAACATATCTAAAGTAGTCAGACAGTAGAAACAGAAAGTAGAAACGTGATTACCCAGAGCTGATAAGAGAGGGAAGGAGGAATTTGTGTTTAGTGGGTATAGAGTTTCAGTTTTGCAAGATGAAGAAGTTCTAGAGATCTGGTATACAACAATGTGAGTATACCTTGTCCAGTCCATCATGAATGACCAGTGGTGCAAACACTTTCTAATCCTCTCCCTGCCTCCAGCCTTGACCCTCTCCAGTCTGTTCTTTAAACTACAGTTGGTATATTTTTGAAACCCCATATCTGTTCTTGTCCTTTTGCTGCCTAACATTACTCAGATTCTCCACTTCCCTTAAGAAACTCTAGACTCCTTACCATGGCCTTTGAGGGTGTACCGCACCAGCCTTCCCTCTGAGCACTCTTTATCTCAAGCTCTATGCTTCCAGCTATTCTGGACTTACTTCAATGTCTTAGATGCGCTACGTGCTTTTCTTCTTCTTAGCCTTTGCACATTCCTTTCCTTCAGCCTCCAACTCTCATTCATGCCATCTCAGCTCTTGCCTCATCCCCTCATTGCCTGGCTAACTTTTCCTGTAGATCTAAAGCTTTCTTTTACACTAATTGTACCCTCTGAATACTGTCTTGTACATCACGTTATCTTGTCTTGTTTGCTATAATAGAAGGTTTGAGATGGAAGGGACCCTGCCTGTCCTACTCATTGTATGTAACCCCTCTGCTCTATACTGGTCGTTCTCAAAGTGTGGTCCTCCAACCAGCAGCAGCAGCATCTTATGGGAACTTGTGAGAAAAGCAGGTTCTCAGATCCCACAGCAGATCTACTAAATCAGAGACCCTAGAGGTAGGACCCTGAGTCTGTGTTTTACCAGATGATTCTGATCTGTGTTGAAGTTGGAGAACCATTGCTGTATGTCATATCTGCCACTTAGAGGCTCTGAAAATTTGTTGAGTGAGTAAAAACAATTGAGGATTTTTTTCACCCACAGCTATTTATGCTTTGTTGCTATTAAATGGATAGCCACACAATGCCAAGGGGTTTTGCTAAAAGGAGCTATGTAGCACACATAAAGCAGCTCTTACTTCTTCACAGAAATCACTGGGTGGGAGGTATCTGCATATCAGACTGCAGTACCTTACCCAGTGTCTTATGCTCAGTAAGCTAAATCTTCGAAGACTTAACATCTCCTCTTTAGAGAATGGATGTAGAGGTGGAAGGTACTCTGTGAGCCTTCTCAGTGATGACTGTTTTCACTATTATCCCGTTTTATTTTTCAGCAAATATGTATCAAGTGTGGGTTCTGAGTAAAATTTCTGGCTTTGTCACTTGAAAGATATGTGACCCCACACAACTTGCTTACCTTTCTACGCCTCAGGTGACTTATATGTAAAGGGATAATGAGAGTACTTGCCTCATAGGGTTATCAGAAAGTTAAATAATACCTGTAAAGTGCTTAGAACAGTATCCAGCACAAAGTAAAGCCCACTAAATATTTCTAGTATATGTTAAGTGCTGTTCTAGGTCCTGGGATAGGGTGGTAAGTGGGACAAATTCCTTCCACTTACGGAGTTTACATTCCAACCCATTATACCTATAAAGACAAAAATATATTTCCGTTCCCCATGAGTTATATTAACTAGCTCACTCAAGTGCCCTCCTACCCAAGTCACATTTTCATTGTATCTTTATCTCTGACTCCTCCTTTTTCACATATCCACTTAATTGCCTGGATTTCTTAAGTCCCACTTTCCAAGTCTAGCTGTTCTAGTCCTTTCCAACTCCGAAGGCCTGAGAACCAGGAGAACTGATGGTGTAGTAGCCTGAAAGCCAGCAGGCCTGAGACCCAGGAAGAGCTGATGTTTCAGTTCAAGTCCAAAGGCAAGAAAAAAGTTGATGTCCTAGTTCAAATGCAGTCACACAGAAAGATATTTTCTGGGGGCGCCTGGGTGGCTCAGTCGTTAAGCGTCTGCCTTTGGCTCAGGTCATGATCCCAGGATCCTGGGATCGAGCCCCGCATCGGGCTCCCTGCCCGGCGGGAAGCCTGCTTCTCCCTCTCCCACTCCCCCTGCTTGTGTTCCCTCTCTCTCTGTGTCTCTTTCTGTCAAATAAATAAATAAAATCTTAAAAAAAAAAAAAAGATATTTTCTGTTCCTCGGGAATGGGGAAGCCATTTTGTTCTATTCAGGCCTTCAAATGATTGGATGAGGCCCACCCACATTAGAGAGAGCAATCTGCTTTACTCAGTCTACTTAACTAAGTGTTAATTTCATCCAAAAACTCTCACAAAAATTCCCAGAGTAATGTTTGACCAACTATCTAGGCATCCTGTGGTCCAAATTGCCATATAGAATTAATCATTATACTATATGTATAGATGATCAGCAAGTATACAATTTTATAACCTTAGTTTTAGGAATTGTGCTACTAATTTTATATAGTCATGTATAAAAATTATTAAAATATAGTAACTCATTTAGCATATTGAGCAGTAAATATAGTAAAGAATCTTAAGCACTCAGAGAATCACAAATCAATATTAATATGTTAAGAGAAATATATTTGAATATGTAATTAGTTCTTTATGCTAAAGCCATGAAAAGTGTTTTTCATATATGAGGTTCTTTGAAAAGGTGTTCACATATGAAGTTCTTTGAAAAGAAATCTGAACAGAAATATACAAATAGCCTGCACTATGCTATCTTGGACTTAACGTACATTTCATTAAGTTCAGCAGGCATATATTGACTATATACTATATACAAGTTCTGTATTAGTTGCCAAGAGGTATTGTAAGATGTATAAAAAAGACTTCCTCAGGGAACACAAACATGGACACATCTTAACTATATTATAGGCAATATTAGTTAACTGTTTCATTAGAGATGCAAATGAAATATAACTACATGAAAGAGAATGCTTTATCCTGTTTGGGAAAATTTATATGGTATACATCTCTAGACCATCAATAATAGTGTAGGAATTTTATTGACAGATAAGAAAGAACTGCTCAAGAAAAATTGAGAAACAGCAGGATTTATTTTGGCAACAGAGAATTATTTAGTAGTGCTGAAGTGTTTCAGTTATGATACATGAAGAAGTAATAACAGAAGGAAAACTTATAAATCTGTCTAGAAAAAGGAGGTAGAAGCAAGTCAGAGTGAGCCCTGTTTGTCATTATAAAGAACTGGGGTTTTTTGGTTTTTTTTTTTTTAATTGGGAGCAATGAAAATTTTGAAAAGAACAACTTTTTAATCTGAGATTTGGAATAATTTAGCAGACAAAGTTGGAGTAGGTTAAAGTGCTATGAAATTGTAAGAAGGATACCCAGTTTTTTGTGTGCATACCTCATCTGTTTCTAAAGAGGATTTGAGACAGTTTAGAGAATTAAAAAAATAAAGGTGAGAAAATAAGAGCAAAATGAAAATAAAAGGCAAGAAAATAAGACAGTGCTGGAATTAAGACTGGTGCAAAAAAAATGCACATAGTAAGATTATGCAGTATTGATAGAGGTGGGCTAAAAGTTTAGCTCTGAATTTCTTAACAGGAGGAAAAATGGGAAATGATTACTTATGAGATTAACTGTCTTCACTTTCTAAATTTATTATTATTTTTTAAAGATTTTATTTATTTATTTGACAGAGAGAGAGCAGGAACATAAGCAGGGGGAGAGGGAGAAGCAGGCTCCCCGCTGAGCAAGGAACCCGATGCGGGGCTTGATCCCAGGACCCTGGGATCATGACCTGAGCCGAAGGCAGACGCTTAGCCGACTGAGCCACCCAGGCACCCCAAACTGTCTTCACTTTCATCTCACTTCCTGTTTCACAGGAAGGAAGTAGAAGCAGTCAGGAGCAACTTTTCCCAGGATCCCACTACCAGATCTCTCACATAAATTCCCATCTTCTCTGTCTCCTTACCCCAGATGAACCATCCATGCTCCTCCGTAAAGCCAACTCCTTCACTTGTGGTTTAGCTTCCATTCCTCCCACTTACTCAACAGTCTTCTCCCAACAACCTCTTCTCTCTCCTGCAGTTCCAGTTTTCCCCGTTGGATCACTCCTATCAACATAAAAATGTGTTGTTATTTGTCTAATCTTTAAGAAGCATGCAAACAATGCAAAAAAATCTTTTTTCACCCAGCTTCTTTCTCCATCTGTTACCCCATCCATTCTTAGAAAGAAAAATGCTAATCAGAACTTCAGTGGGGAAAAAAAAAAACTTCCATCAGATTTTTTTTCTCTTTTCACATTGGCAAAAATCAGAACTTTGTAGCACATTCTATAGACAAGGCTTGTGAAAAAAATCTCTTATATGTTGCTGGCAGAAATGCAAAATGGATTTTTTGCATCCCCAAATTCTGTATAGGGGAATCCAACAATGTGTATCAAAATTACAGATGATTTACCCTTTAATCCATAATCTCAGAGAATCAACTCAAGAGAAATACCTGCATGTATAAAATGATATCACATATATCTCTTGTTAAATTAAACATGCAAGTGCAAAGTAATTTTTAAAGCTTCTGGCATTCATAAAAATACGTATTTGTGGGGCACCTGGCTGTCTCAGTGTATAGAGAATGCAAGTCTTGATCCTGGGGTCATGAGTTCGAGCCCCACATTGGGCATAGAGATTACTTAATTTAAAAGAAAAAAGAAAGAAAATATATTTGCATGAGTTTGCATAAAGAAACTTTAAAATAAATAAGAAGTAACAAAATTATTCATAGATGATAGGCTGGGGAATTATGGGGAAAAATCTGTTCTGATAATTTCCATTCTTTTCTATTTTAAGCTCTCACATTTATGTAAAATATGAAATGACGATTTTTCTCAAATCATGTGTTATACTTTATCTGGGACCAAAAAAAAAAAGTCATGAATATACAGTACTCACTAAATTGTTTTTTTAGTACTTGCTAAAGTTTTAAATTTTATTTTACCATAAAATGATTCTTTAAATTCTATTCCTAGATCCATATTTATTCTCTTGGAATGACATTGTATTGGGGGGCTGATCACGAAGTGCCCCAGAGCCAAGTAAGTCAAATTGTCACATCTGTACAACTTTACCCTTTTTAGAAAGCTCTTCCTTGTATATTTATGTTCTACAGCAAGTTATCAGGCATACCAGCATTTCTATGCTGTTTGTTCACATTAATAATGTCATATTCTCAGCATGAAATAATAAAGTACTAAAGGCATTATTTTTCTCAGAATGTTCTTAGACTTATAGCAGTTACTGTCTACATGCAATTTAGTCTGTGAAATGTAATGGCCTCTTCAAAAATTATAGCAAGAGAAATGGGAGTCCACTGTATTTCTTCTAATGTAATGACTGATAAGAGGGATCCTAAATGTTGATGATTCATTCTTGAACTAAAGTGATAACCTTTTTTGATGCAGACACATAGGAATAATAGCTCTAAGTGTGTCTCAAAATATAGTTTATACTTCATTACTTTTTTTCCTTAACGCTTCAAAATCATACTTCACTAAGCCTATGGAAGTAGACACCAACATTAAAGCAACACTTTCTGAAGTTTTGGGTTCTGATGACCTTTGGCTGTTTCTAGTCCTTATTTTCTAAAATAATTGACTCCTAAAGACCCAATATAAAAAAAAATAATAAATTGTAATTGAAAATTTAAGAACGGTATTTCATCAAAGCAAAGATGTAACATGCAGAATTAGGTTTTATTTTAGGCATTTAGAAATCAAAAACAAAAATATAAGGGTTGTTTTCTTTTTGTTTCATCAAATTAAGAAGTAACAAGCATTTTAGGCTTTTATTCTAAAATTCAGACATCCTAAGATCCATGAAAGATGGATGACATCTTCAACTTGGTTTGGTATCATTTTGTATCATGAAAAATACTGTGTATTTACTTTCTCTCCTCAGTTTCAATTTTATAAATATAGGTGAAAAAGTTAAATTATTACTGGAAATATGTGTGTCATATATTGTACAACCCAATTTAGGTGTAAAATGTGATCACAACCTATGGTTAACACTTTATACTCTTCAGATAGCCAAAAATTAAGTAAATATCAATAATATATAAATTGGAGAGAAAGTATAAGCTTTCACTTATATTTTGCTGTCAGAAATCATAATCATTTTGCAAATACTAAATAACCATTTCAAAAGCATTCAGCCCCCTATCTTATGTCAGACACTGTACTAGACACTAGGAATGTAATGGCCCATGACTGTGGGGTCCATCCAGGGTACAAGGCAAAAAATTAGACAATTATAACAATGTGTGAATGCTATGGTAGGGAAATGGAGGGTGCTGTGGAAAACCAGAGTTGGAGCCTCTAACTAGACTTAGAGGATTAGGATGAGTTTACTAAAGGGCATTGCATCCAAGCTGAGATCTAAAGGATGACATAATACCCAAATGGATGAGAAGTGAAAAGGAAGGGTCACAGGAAAAGCCTGCTTAATCAGAGTGGTTGTACCAGTTTAAACTCCCACCAAACAATGCTTTTCTGTTATCAGTACTTCAAATTATCAGTCTTTTTATTTTTAGCCATTCTGTTGAGTTGTGTAGTGGCTTCTTTTTGTGGTTTTAATTTGCATTTTTAAGTATACTTATTGGACATTTGGATAGAATATTCTATAAATCGTGTCAACTAATTAAAAAATCTTACATTACACTTTCTCTGTTTCACCAGCATAATGAGAACTTATATTTAAATGATCTTAAGTCATTGTAGTATTTGAAATCTAAGTTATCATCAGTGTCAAATTATATTTAATATATATTGAATATATTACATTTTTTTTGACTGTTAGGAAATCTTTTATTCACCCAAAATGTACGTACACACACACACACACACTCACTCAGAGAACTCCTTACCAAAATACTTGAATAACTGAGGAATTCCATTTCTTTATCATACAAAAAAAAAAAAAAAAAAACCACCTGAATTTTTCTGTAACACTTCCTATCTTGGGAGAGTTACATTAACCATCTTCTGCTAATAATTTTTTTGGGGTTATGAAAAGGTAAAATGTAGTAAAATATATATGCTGCTAGATAAGGAGTTCCTTTCCTCCAAGTATTTGCAGTGTGTTTGGTGTGGTTCCTGGGACTCCTGAAATGGCTTGTCTCATGTTGCATAAGATGTACGTACACTTTTCAAAGTTGCTTTTCCTTTCTTTATATTCAGCCTATCAAGCTTGGAGATCATCTCAACAGCATCCTGCTTGGAATGTGTGAAGATGTTATTTACGCTCGAGTTTCTGTTCGGACTGTTCTGGATGCTTGCAGTGCCCATATTAGGAATAGCAATTGTGCACCTTCATTTTCCTATGTGAAGCAGTTGGTAAAACTGGTTCTGGGAAATCTTTCTGGGGTAAGCTACAGTTCCAACTGGTATATATAGTCATATTTTAAAATTTAGCAAAACTTTTTTTAAAGATACTGTAGGTAGCATTTTCTCAATGAAGACTAGGGAACAGTACATTAAATTCCTTGTTCTAATGTTAATTGTTTATTTGAAACATGACTTAAAATTTAGAAGCTCGGTGCAGTAACTTAGTCTCTTAGATTTTATGAGAATTTGTCTTTTTTTAGAACATGTTAGAGCTGAAAATGTTTGTTCTTGCCTCCTTTCTTATATCGTAAGGAGCTTCCAGCAAGTGGTTCTGTCTATTGTGAAAAAATACATTGACATACAAAATGGGTTTTAGCATTAATAATGCACTTTCTTTTGCTTTATACCTCTTTCTTGGCTACTTACTTTTCTGGACCCCTTGAGTATTCCCAAAACTCTCCCCACCTCTATGGACACTGTCACCTGGTGTGAAGGGGGTGATATATGCTTGTATCCCTGCTAGATTGCCCCAAGACCTGGACTCTCCCATTCTCTCTCGTCATAGATAGGAAGAATCCCAAGAATAACAAACCCTGTATCTATAGTCCCACCTCTGCAAATTTTGTGTTATACTTTATCTGGGACAAAAAGACATGAATATATAGTACTTGGATACTCCTTGGTTTTTGATATCTGATCTAGATCAACTTTATCTGCTCTTATACATTAGAGTTATGGTACCTGAGTGAGGTCCTTCTTCTTTGTGTGCACTACAAATTTGCCACTGTCACACAGTGTTCTTGATGACTTCTCACTTCTTCTTCCTAGGGGTTTTGCCATCTTAACCAGGATGTTGTATGGCTGGAGGGCCATATTCTGTGCAATTTGCTAGTTGACACAAAACAGTCTCATAGATTCTTCCAGGCAAATGGTTTGTAAACTGTACCTTGGTACTTCTGTAGTGAAAGGAATATAGGTAGTAGAGGCTGAGTGAATGGGTTCTTGGCTGCTTATTTCCCCTCCTTAACTAGAGCTTCTCCAGTTCTAATTTACTTATTTGTTTATATTCCTGCATCTGAGTTTTTTTTTAACAAAGGTAAAGCTACTAAAAATCTATGAAAGCCCTGTATCCAGAACAAAGTTTCCTACATATTATCAAATACAGTTTTGTTTTTAAAAATTCCTTTGTGATCAAATAAGTTTGAGGAAAACCTATTTAAGAGAAATTAAAATATATTTTCACTGCAGAACTTCTCAGAGCCTTTAATACACTAGACTATATTACTCACCTTCAAGAGTGATACGCATGTAGGTAAAACATTTCCCAAACTTATTTGGGTCTTTTTTTTTTTTTTTACAGATTTTTTCATAATGCTAATGTTCCATAAAATTTCCTTTGAGAAAGAGTGATCAATACTAATTCCTTCACTTTTTAAATAAGGAAATTGAGACTCACACAGCTTATGGGACATATATTTCCTATTAGTCCAGGGATCTTTCTATTTTACCACATCTCCTCTAAGACTTGTCTTGCTGATTTCATCCCTTTAATAAAATTGCTAGAATTATTTTTTCTTCCTTCTTTTAATGAAGAAATATTCCTCCATGGAATTCTGTTGTCCTTCTAATAGTTGCCCATATTAGATAAAAGATCTCTGTCTCTTTACATTTAGTATTTAAGCCAGTTTATTACAGTAACGAATATTGCTCATCTATATATGAAACCTGTCTAGATACTACAGAAGATACAACTTAATAAAATATTTGCTCTACCTTCAAAGAGCTCTTATTTAAAGTTCTACAACCATTTGGTTAATTATAAAATGCAGAGGAAATATGAAAAGCAACACAGGAAGAATTTTTAAAGCTATGAAGTTTTGAGAGGAAGGATACAAGTTATGACTGCATCGAAAAATACCACTTTGAACTAGATCCAGTAGTCTGATAGAAAGTAATCTAGGCAGAGGGAAGCAAGCCTGGATAAATGCTGTGAAATAGGAAAGAGCGGAGTATGTTTGAGGAACAGTATTAAGTCTGATATGGGGTGTGTTGTGGGATTGTTTAGTAGGAGAGAAGAATAGAAAGGTCAGTCGAATTAGGATATGGATACCCTGCCTTTCCAGAGGCAAATGTCTACTAAGAAGAACTAACATTGTTCCCCTTCTCTTTCTATTGCTCTTGCTAGTCTCCTGGACATCATCCAATAGTCGGAGCCTCGGCAGCTACCTTTTTTTGTTTGTTTTATGCCAGGCACTGTGCTAAATGGCTTATGTGCTTGTCCACATTTGTTCGTCCTAACAGTCTCAGATTACCCTCGTTTTAGAGATAATGAAACTAAAGCTTAGAAAGATTAAATAATCTGCCCATGACCATGCACTTTGTAAATGACAGACACAATTGGAGCCTGGATCTCTTTGACCCCAAAGCCCAAGCTGTTAGCCATTTTGCTCCTCTGAAGCTGTTGTTGCCTCCAGGAGCCAAGAGAATGACTTAGTCTTTTGTTCAGGGTGAAATTCATTTCAAGGGACCATAATTCTTATCTACTGAAAGTTAATTAGCATGGAGTGTAAAGTCAGCAGGCCAGCTTACTTGTCTTGGTTCTACTGATTTAATGTTACGGCATCTTTGACCTCAATTTTACTTATCTATAAAATAGGAATAGTAACACATACCATCCACTCGTGTTACTGAACAGTTGTGAAGATAATTATTTCAATGTTGAGGAGCTGCTTCAAGGTTCTTAGAAGTTTGTTGTTGTTTTTGGGTTTTTTTTTTTTTTTTTTTTGCTATTTCTCTCTTTGTCTGTAGTACAAGGATAATAACCCTACCACATAAGGGGTTTTGAGGATTAAATAAAGTATGTAAAGCACCTAAAGCAGTGCCTGCTTTATAGTAATCGCTCAATAAATGGCAGCTATTACTAATAGTACTGTCAATGCAGGGATTCCCAAAGATGCAGGATGTGCCTTATCTCTTAAGTTACTGACAACATAGTGCAATACACTACTAATATCATTTATGTAATTTAAAGGATGACATAATTCCAGAAATATTTCCATTTAAGTCTTCTTAGAAGTAGGAAACATAATACCTTGAATATACTACCTTAAACTACTACCATAAGTAGGTTTTTAATCCATATTCAAGCAAGTTTCACTAATAGAGGAATATTAAAATGATTGTGTATATATGTTTGTAAACAAATACATACACATGCATTTGATGTCAGATTTAAGTAATTTCTCTTCATCATCATCTCTCCATTTATTTCCTGAAGCTTCTGCTCTACTTGATCATCTAACTAAACCCAGTGTTCTAATTTTTCATCCCTTATAATGTGGAATTTGATCAGATTTGATACACTTTTACTTTAATTTTTTAAAGGTAATACACTTTTTCCCCCATTAATACATTTTTTATTTTTAATTCCAGTATAGTTAGCATACAGTGTTAGATTAGTTTCAGGTATACAATATAGTGATTTAACAGTTCTATACATCATTACTCAGTGCTCAAGTGCTCATCATGATAAGTGTACTCTTAATCCCCTTTGCGTACTTCACCCATCAACTCACATACCTCCCCTCTGATATCCTTTTTTAGTTTATTAATTTTTTTAAAAGTTCTTTGTTAATTAATCCTCTCATGAAAATCTGCATAATCACCACAGATAAAGTCACTGCAGAATCTTTACTCCTTTTCTGTTGTCCAATCGCCAGCTCACTGCTAGACATTTTATTTATTTTTGCCAGCACCAACATTGGCTTTTGCAGTCCCCCTGACTTTCTTCATTCTGTTCTTATGTTCCTTCAGCTGTTTTCTTGAGGTCTTTTTCTTCTCATATGGGCCATGCCTTGCAAGTCTGTGTTTGGGTTCATGTTTCTTTGCATAATCCACCGAAATGTCAAAGCCACTTGTCTTGCCACCACCAAAATGGGTTCTGAGTCCAAACCCAAAGATGACATCTGGTGTGGTTTTGTACATTTTGGCTAGTTTTTCCCGAATTTCTGTCTTAGGTACTGTAGCTTTTCCCAGATGAAGAACATCAATGACCATTTGTTTCAGCTGAAGTAGTCCATTGGTCATGGACTTCCTGGTCTGAATAGTTACTGTGTCATTCATGATGGCAGCCAAGGTTCAAACAGCTAGGGTGGAAGAAAATGATATGCTTTATTTTAAATGAGTACCCTCAGTTAAAGTTATTAAAGCTTAAGACTATTCAAACATTTTGGGGCACCTGGGTGGCTCAGATGGTTAAGCGTCTGCCTTCGGCTCAGGTCATGATCCCAGGGTCGTAGGATCGAATCCCACATCGGGCTCCCTGCTGAGGGAGGGATGGAGCCTGTTTCTCCCTCTGCCTCTGCCTCTCTCTCTCTTTCTCTGTCTCTCATGAATAAATAAATAAAAATCTTTAATAATAAAAAAAGATTATTCAAACATTTTATTATAAAGGAGATTCAAAGGAACATTGATTTAAATTTAATTGTCATCCCTCAATATGTCCATTGGTTTAAAACATTTCTCAAATGTAATTCCTGGCAGGAAAAATCTAGAAAATTACTTTTGAAAATAATTTATGTCAGTACCCTCAGTGCTTGGTTATAATCAGGAGAAAGCTTTATTATAGCAGAATTAATGTGTTTTTAAAATCATAATCGAACTTGAGAGATTAACGTAGTTACCAATTAGGGGAAAAAGAACTCCTCTAGTTTACTGTTTTCAGATGGAACTCATTTTAACTACGTCAGTTTGGCTAACTTTGTTACCCAGTTAGCAGATAATTCTTCTACAACTCTGTCTTGCCTTTCATTTCCTGAAGATGAATTGGCCAGAACTGAGCTACATAAATCCTATAAAGAAAAACAAATTAACAATAGCCAATGTGGAGTGTCTTTACCAATGCCATACTCCACAAAAATTGTCTAACTAGTGACATTCTGTAGATAATTACCATGAAAATGAAAGGGAGATTGTTTCGTCAAATTTGATTTTTGATTATCTGTGTACAGACGGATCAACTTTCCCGTAACAGTGAACAAAAGCCTGATCGAAGCCAAGCTATTCGAGACCGATTGAGAGGGAAAGGATTACCAACAGGTAAGCGTATATTAATAGGAAATTTTTAAGTTTTAACCTTATTTCATTGTTTCTTTTAATGAAATCATACTTACCTGGCTTGGGAATCTGATAATTGTGATCATAATTAGAACATAAGTATGCAAAGTGGAGATAGGGAATAGACAGGAACACTAACTATATTAATATATAAATCCATTAAAATTATGCAAAAAACATTACTAAGACAGAACTCCCACAGTAAATCATTTCCTTTCCAATATTGTTATTTTAGCAATAATATTTTACTTTATTGTCTTTATCATGGAATTTTATATTAAAAATATATTTTAAAGCAAGATGAAACAAAGTTTATGAACATAAACACTACTGAAACAAAGTTTCAGGGGCGCCTGGGTGACTCAGTTGGTTAAGCGACTGCCTTCGGCTCAGGTCATGATCCTGGAGTCCCTGGATCTAGTCCCACTTCGGGCTCCCTGCTGAGCAGGGAGTCTGCTTCTCCCTCTGACACTCCCCTCTCTCATGTGCTCTCTCTCATTCTCTCTCTCTCAAATAAATAAATAAGATCTTTAAAAAAAACAAACAAAAAAAACCAAAGTTTCAGAAAGCAACATTATTTTTGCTGCACTTTATTTTCTATTCTAGTTCTTTTTATTAATGGGAATCACAACCCCCAAGTTGATTTTAGACTCTGTCTATACATGTATATCTAGAGAGAGGCATAATTATAGTAAGGAAATATATATATAAACACATCTTCTTGCAGATAAAAATCTTTTCCTCTATTTTTTTTTATTATTATGTTCAATTAGCCAACATATAGTACATCATTAGTTTTTGATGTAGTGTTCAGTGATTCATTAGTTGCATATAATACCCAGTGCTCGTCACAACACATGCCCTCACTTTCCCTTTATTTTAAAATGATCCTAGGATTGGAGATATAATATAGTGTGAACCTTGGTGCCAAGAAGAGCAGCACTTTGTTAATCCATCAAATTTTCAGACTCCTGTTTCAGAACTGAATAATAATAGAAAATTATAATTAAATGTCAATAGCAAGCAGAAAGAGTCTTTTTCAAGGAGACATAATGAGCATACTTTAATAAGTGAATGTTAGATTTAAATGATTTCTGTCTCTCTTATTTATCATGTTTCTAAATTCTTCCTCCCTTCCAGCAATCCATCTCCCTCCCTCACACTCTCTCTGCTTCTCCATTTCTGTCTCCCTTCCTTCCTTATTTCTCTTCCCTGTTCTTTACTTTCTTTCTGGAATTCTCTTTTATCATCTACTGTCATTAAATGGCCATGTTATAGAATTGAAGTTGGTTTGCTTGTTTGTTATTTGTTGAGTTAGTCCTATCCCTTTATTGGAGAATTAAATCTCCCCTATATCTAAACTCAAGAGAATTTGTAAGGAATTATGATTTCTCACTCAAGATAAACCAAATTTTGTTTATGTTTACATTTTGGGTAAAATTAGAGGTCCTCACACTTAAAGTGCAACAGCCTTTTTGAGATCAAGTGTAATAAAAGAGAATTCTTCAGTTCTTCTTAGCCATTGCTTTACACAGTAGTACTGCTCAAGGGCTGTCTTAATTTACAAATTTAACAAATGTAAAAAATCACATCTCAAAGACAGAATCAACATAATGTACTAATTATACTCATTACCAGACAAGCAATTAGCAGCTTATAGTCAATGGCATATACTAATGTAATATAAAAACTAAGATTAAAAAAGTGACCTTGTGAAGAACTATTTTCTAGGACCCCAGTGTTACTTTTGGGCAGTGCAGTTCTTCACTCTCAGAGGTCACTTGCAACAAAGAGTCTTGTTACACTACATTGGTACAAAAGCATTCTCTTTGATGCGAACCAACCTGAAACTTTTATGTACTGATAGCTTTAGTTTATTAGGCTCCTGGCCATAATTTTCAATAAGGAAAATGTCAAGATGGACAGTGAGATATAGAATTAGGTTAAAAGAAGTAAACAATTTTAGCGATACTGCCTTGTGTCTAAGTGATTTGATCGTTCACCTGAAACTTAACAATAACTTTTTTTTTATCTATGAGTCAATGACCTTAAAAGGTCTCTCCTTACATCTTACCTCTCAGATCTGTTACAAAAAGTAAGGCCTGAACTAGTGGGCTGTCTGCCCCCGTTTTGTTATTTTATACGCCAGTGCTGATAAAATGGCTTCACTCAGCAAAAAGAAATCAAACATTTCCTCCCGAGCTTAAGGCGGAAACCTATACCATGATCAGATCAGCATGATAGTGCTTCAGAACTTGGGCATATTGACAATATCATGTTTCTTTTTTTGTGTACTTGAACACACTTGTGAGGACAAATGGGGAATCGAGGAACCTCTTTAATACTGAAATGTCATTTTGAACTTAGCTTCTAAGAGATGCTTAAGTTTTTTGAGTCTTGTGTGAGGGGAAGGGTGAATGATGATATCCAATTAAGGATGATGTTAGTCACATATAACAAATATAGTTAAAACACAATGTACTTTAAAAGGGAGTTTTTTTTTTCAATTTGACTAAAATAAATGGAATATGTTCTATTATGAAGACTTTTTATGTTTTTAAAATCTTTTATTTTCTTTTTCCCCCAATTAGTTTTTAGCAAGCTCCGTATTCTCCAAAAGGAGCATGTTTATGGTTTCATTTTGTATTTGGATACTTGTAATTGTATGTAAAATCTAATGTTGTTTGTAAACTCTCTTTGAACTCAGAGCCTTTTCAAGAGATGGAAAATCCACCTATAGTCACCATTTATCCTGTTTTGAATAATTTGATTTTTTCAATAACAGAATCTAAAACTTTTATTGGAAATCTTTTGATTTCTGGTTTCATGATTTCCTCTCAAAAGAACTTTTAAATTCCCCCTGAGTAGATAATGATATGCTGAGGAAAATAAAGCAGAAACAAAAGGGAGGAGCAATTTAGAATTTTATGTTTTCCTAGCTCATGATAGTTCATTAGGTGTTAGTTCATTTATCCTGCCTTCTTTAAGAAGAAGGTATAATAAGTAATGTCCACAGCTTTGTAGATGAAGGAAGTGAGAGACATGGAAATTAAGTGGCTTGCCCAAGCTCATGGATTGAATTTGGTAAAGCTGGAATTAAAACCCAGGTGTTTTGACAGTAATCTTTCTGGTAGATTATGCTACCTAAATTGGCTTTAAAAGGTTTCAAAAAGTTATGTAATCAATCCATTCCATAAGAGTTGTTTTGGAATGTCTTTAATCAGGAATTAGAAATATAAAAACAGGTAAGACATGGTTTCTTATGTTACTGTTCCAGTTGGGGGTGGAGTGGGGAAATGAGTGGGAGTGATGACAGATATCTAATATAATGGATAATTTTAATATATTGAAAGAAATGTCCTAAGAGGGGGCCAAAGTGCTCTGTGAGAATAGTGGAAGGAGCTAGTAACTCTCCCAGGATGGGGAAATATTAAAGAAGTTTCTACCTGAAATCTTTTAAGAGTAGCTCCAATGGTATTGCCTTTAAAAATAACATTAACTTCCTGTGATCAAAATGGGTAGTGAGCACAGCTATTAGATGTACTTAATGATTTCAGTGCTGTTTATTGCCTGTTAAATAAAGTAATTATAATAGCCCAGCACATGTTTAGAAAGATTTGGAAAGCAGTTGAAGAAATTGCATTTTACCTAGTCTCAAATCAAGTTAGTAAGTAAGTAGCACTGGTATTAACAACAGTACATGGTTTTCACTGGTCTAGCAGCCTATGCACCTAGTAAATGAGTCTAGGATTCCTGTTTCTCCTCACTTAAAGGGCCAGATTCTATATTTGAACTCTCATTTTTTAGTTCCCAGATTAGTGAAATTTTTCCAACAGTGCTTAGCAATACAAGGCAACCATGATATGATATGTGATGTTATATATATTTTATCCACTTGTGAAGTGTTAATCATGCAATTCCATATTCAGTTGTATAGCTGAAGATAGTATTATTGATATGACAAAATGCATTGAGACTCCTGCCGATTAGGAAAATGTGATTTTAAAAGGGTATGTTTGTACCAGCCAAAATCCACCTCTCTGTTACCTAGATAAAGGTATGTCTCCTTTTTCATCCAAAAAGCAAACAAAACCATTCCTAAGGTATTAGACCCACTGGAGAAACCACTTAGCTCCAAACACCTCTCCTTTTTTTTTTTTTTTCTCTCCTATTATAAATACTTCATTTCAACCAGAAGGTACAATCTCTCAGGGGTTTCATAGTTTAAAAAGCTACAAGCACGGGGTGCCTGGGTGGCTCAGTCGTTAAGCGTCCGCCTTTGGCTCAGGTCATGATCCCAGGGTCCTGGGATCGAGCCCCACATCGGGCTCCCTGCTCAGCAGGAAGCCTGCTTCTCCCTCTCCCACTCCCCCTGCTTGTGTTCCCTTTCTCGCTGTGTCTCTCTCTCTGTCAAGTAAGTAAGTAAGTAAATAAATAAATAAATAAATAAAATTTTTTTTTTTAAAAGCTACAAGCACATCATGTTGTAACTACATAAAAAACAGTGCTATAAATGGAACTGCCTGGCTTAGACCATATATATTTCTGCACAGTCTTTATGGAATCTGCACAAAGAAATATCTTCTTTCCCTTTCATCCAATTAATTGTTCTTGTGTGTAAGTTGCTTTCTAGTCCGGTATATCCAGAGTGGTGAAATCACAAGGCCAGCCATGTAGCCAAAGGTCACTCTAAGCATACAGAAGATGGGCCGTATCTGCCACGGTCCTTCCCAATCGAGTGGACTAGGAGAGGCTCCAAGCCATGTTCCTATAAAGCTAGAAATTGTAGTGATCTGAAGACTGTTCTCCCAAATGGATGTGACTTCATTTCTACTGAACACTCTTAGCCATGCTTTAATGTTTGGTTCTAACAAACATAAACAAGGTACAGTAGAAAAGTAGACGAAATAACTGCAAATAAAAATGTTTCCAGCACATATAGAACAAAAATTGCATGAAAGAAGAAACATGACATAAACAGCATTTCAAAAATCTGGTTACCTTGTATGATAATGAACTTCTTTTAGAGGATGCATTTGGTTTCACTACTAAATATAATACTAGACTGACAGCAGTTACAAAAACAACAGATGCACAAGTGTGTTTCCAATATTGAGAAGTTCTCCAAGAAGAATGATGGACTGATGCTTAGGATCATTGAAGATATGCATGAAAGATGGGTATACAGTAGTCTCTTGATATCAGTATCTTTCACTGTGTTTTCTTTGAGAGGCTGTCTAACTCTCCCACCTGCAGAAGAGAAACGGGGGTTACTACCTCCCACTATCAGGCACGACTGGCCTCCCTGACCCTCAGGCAGGTGCAGGCCTGTGGGGCCCAAACATCTCTTTCCTACCACTTCCTTTTTCTTCCTTCAAAAGGTGATCCACACTCAGTTTCTAAACCTTTAATGCTTTTGTGGCTCATAGCTCTTACAATTTTACTTCAGACCATCTGTAGCAAGTATATACATAGCCCTCTGAACTTTGTTTCGCACCTCCACAGTTTTTTGCCCATTTTCCTCAGGAGTATCAATCCCTCCCCACCCCTTCTTTCTTCCTCTTCCTATTTACCTATTCGTTTGTTTGTTTTATTGGCTACCAGAAGAGATCTTATTATAGCAAAAAAATCATCTTTATAAATAATGGTCATGAGACTTTAAGTTGGCTATCATAATGTGATTTTCAGGCATGTAGAGCAAATTGAGAAACAGTTAAATTTGGCATATTTTGTAGAAGCAGAGTAGAAAGGTAGTGCAAACTTTTAAATGAATTACTTTTATTATAATTTTGTACTACCTTACAGAACTTAAAAATGGTAATGTTCTGGACTTTTTTTTCTCTTTAACTTTCTGGACTTTTTTTTTAATCACTTCTTGGCCTTTTGGCTAAGATCAAGTGTAACTTTCTGGACTTCTAATAAATAAGAACTGAAATATTATATCTACTAATTTGCATAAAGCAAAAACCTAGCATTTATAGAGCAGTAGTTATCCAAGAGCCACCTTATTAGCAATTAGTTTTAAGTCTCATATGGCTGGTGAGAAGACATGGCTCTTTTAGGATACCATGGCCCATTAATATATTGTTAGTAAATACTAATAACCTACAAGAGAATGATAAATCTACCTGTTAGAAATGCAATAGACTCATGATACACTTGGAAAGTGATTATTTCAGTAGTGGTTGGGGTAGTCCTCACTGAAGAAGTTATATTTAAAATAAAAGTATAGAATAAGAAACAACTAACCATGAGAAAAGTCTGGACCATTCAGGGCATAGAAAACAGTATGTATAAAAGGTCCTAACATATAAGAGAGCTTAATAGGAAAACCTGTGGCCTGGATGGAATGAAAGAAGTGGAGAGGAGACTAAAAAAGATTCAAACGGCAGATCTGAAAGGAGTCTTGTTTTTATTTTGAGTGCGATAGTATGCCTTTGAGACTTATTTAAAAGGGTGGTGGCGTCATGGAATTTATATTTTGAGAAGATAACACTGGCTGCTAAGTAGAGGGGTAGTTGGGTGAAGAAAGGAGGCCTATCCAGAAGCCATTGCAGTTTTCTAGTCAAGTGATAATGTTAACTGGGTATAGGGTGATGCCAGTGAAAATGCAAATAATCACTTGGAGTAAGATATCTTTGAGAAGTTAAATAACCAGCACTTCTGATAGATTTGATACAGGCAGTAAGGATGATGAAGGATTTCAGGATCATGCCCATATTTCTGTTTTGAGCAATCAGTTGGATAGTGATGCCACTTACTGAAATTGGAAAGATTGGGGTTGAATGGATATCTCTGGTTTTGGGAAACAAAAAATAGTATTAAGCATGTTCAGTTTGAGGTGCTTCTAAGATATGCTAGTGGAAGTCTCAATTATATGTGATTGGAGCTCCCGGAAGACATTGGTGCCAAGAATATAAATTTGGGAGTTACCTGTATGTAGTTAATTATTTAAAGCCTTGTTAGTAGATGAAATTATACAAGAAGAGAGTGAAAAGATAGGGTTCTAAAACTGGTACCTGAGGAAATCCAACATTTGGATATCCAATAGAGGAGGAAAAAGCAAAGACTAAGAATGAGCAGTCTAAGAAGTAGAAGAAAACCAGTCTTGTAAAGAGAGGAAAGTGCTTCATTAAGTAACTGTCATCACCATCAATTGTTGCTGAGAGGTAAGTAGGATATAGATGCAAAATGTCTGTTGGGTTTAGCAACATGGAGGCCATTAGTTTGACACAGTGAAAGTTGCCAAGGTGTGGAGGAGTTGGAAGTTGACTGAAGTGAGTAGAATACTAATGGGAAAGAAGAAATCGGAGACAGCAGGAGCTAGAAGGGAATGTGTTAACAGGGGAGAGGTTTTGTTTATTATAGAAATATTAAAGCACGTTTGTATACTAATGGCAATGACTCAGTAGAAAAGGGGGTTAATTAAGATCGAGGGCAGACGTTAACCAAAGAAGTAAAATCTCTGATAACGTAAAATAAGGGGGATTGAACACATATTGGGAATCAGGCTTCAACTGGTAGAAAATTGCATCTTTTGAGACAAGGGAAAAGATTGGCAGACAGGGGTAGATGTATAGAATTAGCCATGGGAAAATGAGAAGTTCTTTTTGGAAAGATTCTGTTTTCTTGATGAAATATGAGAGAAAATTATCAGAAAAGAGAAGAGGGAATTAATGTGGGGAATTTGAAGAATGAGGGAAAGTGAAGCATTGTGGAGAGTGAGTGAAATTACTGTTAACACATTGATGTTGAGTGTCCAAGGTTTTTGACTATGAATTTATGATGTTGCCAAAACCCTCACTTGTTTGGTTTTCTCTAAGTTTTGGCTACTTGTTGGGAGTCAAGGCAGTATAAAAGAAGGCAGGTTGTTGAGTTCATCTATGGTTGTATGATCCTTAAGTCCTTTCAATTCTTATTTTTTACCTCATGTATTCTATCAATTTTCAAGAATATCTCTGTTCTCTATTTTTTAATAAAATTTTAAACTAATGAGTTTCAATATGTGGTTTGTTTAAGAATGTAATTTACTCCTAAAATTCTATAATATAGATGTGTTTATCAGTTTTAAATTATCTTAGATTAGAAGCTAAAGTCTGTGACAATCTTTGTCTAGTTGTGATGTTATTTTCTCAGTGTTCTTTATATGACATGCCCAAATATTGGTGTTATCCTTATTTGCACTTCAGTGGATCCGTGTTCAGGGAAAGATGAGTTACAAGAAAAGCAAAATGTTTGAATCTAATTCTCCAGTAAGCAGTTATTTGTTGACCATTCTGAAATGAATTCTCTTTTCTAAGATCTTTAAGGTGAAATGTGGAGTCAGGGAATTGAAACTTACAGCTATCACCCTGAAGAGGAAATTGACTTACTCAAATGAACTACTAAGCAATTTATTATTACTAGGGAAGTTTTAGTCATTATTTTATATTGTATACATAGCAGATAAGTTATCAAAGAGGGATCACAGAAGGTCACACAGGAAATCCTCAGTGTTTATGGGCTTTTGCGTTAGTAACTCTAAAGTATTTTTCTACATTTCTTTTTCTATAGTGGAGCCATACACACAGACACATATATATATGATTTTTTGTGTTACTGACTCTGAATTCCAAAAATTAATTTGTTTGGGCATTTTTGCTGTGTCTCAATGCATTTGTAGACTGGTGCCATAAAAAAAATTAGGATGGCTTACTGGTTTTTTGTTTGTTTTTTAAAGATTTTATTTATTTATTTGACAGAGAGACACAGTGAGAGAGGGAACACAAGCGGGGGGCGGGTGGGAGAGGGAGAAGCAGGCTTCCCGCAGAGCAGGGAGCCCGATGCGGGACTCGATCCCAGGACCCTGGGATCATGACCTGAGCCAAAGGCAGACTCTTAACGACTGAGCCACCCAGGTGCCCCAGATTATATCAAGTTTTCTGAAAACATATCTATTCATAATAAAACTTTGATACTTAAGAATTCCAAATACTGCAATCTTTTTTTCATCCAGAATATAGCAAGAATTCTTTGTTTCTTCTTTAAAAATATTTAAATGACCAGAAAATAGCGGGGCTTTATGTTGAAGTGATACATGTTTGAATTATATCTTTAGAAGTTAAAGGAGTATACTCTACATTCTATTATTACCCCAAATCATTTCATGGATTAGATTAATATTCTGCCAAACTGGATAGTATTAGAAACTTTTGCTTTTTTTTTTTTTTTTACTTTTGTCTATTTTTAAAAACCAAATAATTCACCTTTGATGAATATAAAATAGTATTACTCAAAAAAGTAAGTTCAATACATTATAGTTTTCATTGAGTAAGAAACATTGGACTATGAAAAGTTATACAAACAAAGTGTCTCTTTCCACTTTCATGATCATTACCATCCATTTCATCTCTGATCCTCCATTAGGAAGACTTAGGAAATTACCAGCACTTTCACTGTCAATAGTAAGGTTACATTCCAGTTATTTTCTAAAAATTCTGTGCATACATGATAGATTCTTATCATTCCAGGAAGAAGCTCTACTTCTGATGTACTAGACATACACAAGTCTCCATTCTCTCATCAGACCTTTCTTAACAAAGGGCTTAGTAAATCTATGGGATTCCTGTCCATCAGAGACACACAAGATGAGGAAGATTATTTCAAGGACATTTCATCAGATAATAATTCTGGACACGAAGATTCTGAAAATGCCTGCTCCCCTTACCAGTTCAAAACTAGTGGCCTAGAAAAAAAAACTTTCCCTGGTATTGATGTGCCTCCCAAGAAGAAGATTTGGGCTTCATCCATGGACTTGCTTTGCACAGCTGACAGAGACTTCTCTGGGGAAACTGGTGGATTCCAGCAATATCTCCCTGAGGCAGTAACAGTGCGGACTTCAACTACTCCTAGAAAAAAGGAAGCAAGATACTCAGATGGAAGCATAGCCTTGGATGTCTTTGGCCCTCAGAAAGTGGATCCAGCATTTCACATGCGAGATTTGCCCACTTCCTCAGCAATATCAAGTGCTTTGGACCGAATTCGAGAAAGACAAAAGAAACTTCAGGTTCTGAGAGAAGCCATGAATGTAGAAGGTTAGTAAATTTGAATGGGTTTGAGAGAGGATTGAATTGAAATATTTAAAATTGTGTTTTGAAATAAAGAAGGGTTATTAAACCATTATACAAGTTTATTTCCACTGCCAAAGCTTTATACCCAGGTTAGTCTCTTTGTCAGTTTCTGTCCTCCTTTCCACCAAAACCCTAATCAAACTACACTGTTCCCACACAGTCATCTCTAGTAATAAGCATCCCAGTCCAGGCACTTTTATAGCCCTTCAATATTTTGGATAGCATGTTTTTAGACTATAAACTTCTCAAGGCAGGAGCCATGTTTTCTACTTCTTTTTAATCCTCCCCAGCACCATGTATCTTGCACTCTCAAAAGACGCTTCCCTAAAGGTCTGGTTCATGGAAATAAGAGGCAGTTAATAAAAATCAGCAATCCTAGGGAGGCAGAGTAGCCTGGTGATAGTGCATTGGTTCCCAAACCACCAATCTCAAAAAAAAAACTTAGGGACACAACTCCTGGAGATCATAATTTATTTGGTTTGGAATGAAGTTTTAAATCTGTATTTTAAAAGTCATGGTATTTAGGTTTATAGATATAGAGTCAGACAGCCTAGGTTTGAATTATTTGCTGCATCAGTAGCTACATGATCCTTCCTTCAGCAACTGGGCTTAATCTCTCCAAGTGTAAATTACTCCATCTGTAAAATGGGCTTAACAAAAGTAGATTAGGTAATGAATGTAAAGTGATTAACAAATCAAATTATTACAAATTAATATGAGGTGCATTAAAAAACAACTTTGTCAATGATAAATTCTTATTTGCAGGGCAAAGTTCTGGTTCAAAAATACCTGATTGGCACACAAACCTCTAAAATTACGTGTTAGACATGGAGAGAGGCAATTTTTAACATAAATAGATGGAAGAGAAAACAAAATTAGAATTATCAATCTAATCTCTACATTTTTGAAGATTAAAGTTTTGTTATCTCCCCTTATCTTGTAGACAAACTTTGGGACATAGCTGAAAGAGAAATTTAAGGTGTTTCCAGTTCAACAAGAGTAGTGGCATAATCAAGGGTCATAATTCATTTTTAAGGCCATTGTTCCAGTGGAATATTTTTGATCACATAGATCAAAAATACCTTTAAAGTGCTCTGCTAAAGGTTTGTTCTTTTACTTAGGTGTAAGCATAGCTCTGGACTGAATATACTCTACACATTATGCTTTACTTCTAGTAAAAGAAGCTTTGCTTCTTTTTTTCAATTCAGGAATTGCAAATTAGGGATGAATTTAAAATTATAAAGGAAATTATTGAACACTTAATTGATATTATGGGTATGTATATATGTGCATTTAAAGAAAACATTAGCCAGCTTTATGAGATGATTGTATATAATCTTGATCTGAAAACTTTTAAGGACAGAAAATACCTTAGAAATTTGCTATATGCGTGATTTCATTGTTTAACTCTGATCAGTAAGCTTTTAGAGTTGTGGCAGAAAGGCATTTTCTGTAGCTTAAAGTCTTCTCTTTCAGAAGTTGTACTTCATGATTATTTAATGTTGCACAACAGCTAGCATATGAATAATAACTTAGCCTGACCTTCTTATGAACATAAGAGACGTTTATGTGAAGAATTCTTGCCCAATGTGGAAAAACCCCCAAACCCTTAATTATTCAAATAGATAAAACTGTGATAGTCTCGGAGTATAAATAGTGAAGCTACATACTGATGTAGATGACTATTTCTAACATTCAAGAAATTGAGTGATATACTTTCTTAACATGTGAATATTAAAAATTAAACCATGTTCTTATGTTCACGTGTGTGTTTTAAAAGATATACTTAATATTTGATAAATTAATAGTAGTATGAACTAGTGAAGTCTGAGAAAAGTGTTTTTTTGCACTTGAACCTTGCTTTGAGAGTTAAACAGTAAAGAAATCAAACACTAATGGAAATATATATTTAATGCATTAAGTTATGCTACACTAGTCTGATATATTTTGTTTGAATAGGTGATTTTTTTTTGATTACCCATAAAGTGAGTATTAAGCCGAACTACGTCCTAGTTTGCACAGGGAATGTGTGCAGGCACCTGTGTTAAAGAAACTCAAATAGACCAACTTGTTTACAACTTGTTTCCAAATATGCATATATATCTGCAAAGATGGTATATAATATTATTGACCCTTATTTATTAAAAATGGTAACTTGTTACAAAACCTAACTTCCAAATTTAGAAATGTTATATTCATTACAAGAGATACAAGAAAAGAAAAGGAAAAGATTTCTTCTTAAAAATAAAATATGCTTTGAATTGTTTGATACCATTTTCATCCTGAAATCTTTCTTTGCTATTGAGTTTTGCTATTTTTGAAATACTATTTATTTTGAAAACTATTGAAGTTTTCAAAAGCATTTGTTCTCACAAAGAACCTACCCATTTTTCCCCAGAGTGTATTTTTTTTTATTTTTTTCCCCCAGAGTGTATTTTATAACCAAGTTAAACAAACACTTCAAAAATGTTGGTTTATCATGGAAATGCTTACACCATCTTAAATAAACTCCATTATCATATAGTAACTTACAAGTAGTAATAAATTATATTTGCTTTAGACTAAAGGTATTCTTCAGAAAGAATGTTTGATGTTTGGAATTCAAAAGCAGTAATTCTTAGTTATTTAGTTGAGTAATTTGCTGGTTTTATGCTGTGCATTTTCTAAAAGTGAGATAATTTATGTTAGCTGCTCAAACAAAAGTGCAGATTGCTAATATAAAAATTTTAGCTAGTATACGAAAAAGAGAGTAGAAAACAATACAAATCCCATTTATCTCATTTAGTTCTCACGAAAAGTAGGCTCCACAGATCCCTTTTTTTTTTTGTAAGATTTATTTATTTATTTGAGAGAGCGAGAATGAGAGAGAGAGTACATGAGAGGGGGGAGGGTTAGAGGGAGAAGCAGGCTCCTTGCTGAGCAGGGAGCCCTATGCGGGACTCGATCCAGGGACTCCAGGATCATGACCTGAGCCGAAGGCAGTCTCTTAACTAACTGAGCCACCCAGGCGCCCCCACAGATCCCTTTTATGTGTGAGAAATCAAGCAGAACAGTGGTTGTTGCTTATGTACACATTTCTTTTTAAATATTCTTGTTTTAAGCCATTTAAAAATATTAATAGTGCTCTGTACAATTTTTGTGATCTTTAAATCTGTCAGTTGCTACTGGCTATGAGTAATTACAGAATTAGAAGAGGTCTTGGAGTACATATTCCTGAGCTCATGAAGATTTAATAACTTACCCAAGACCACGTAACTAGTTAATGATAGAATTTCCATCATTATGGGAGACTGTGGATTTCCATCTAGATTTCAAAGCTCCAGTCTGAGAATTTCCAATTCTGTGTTACTTCCTGATTTTTTAAAAAAGATGTGTTCCAGTGTTCATTGGGTTAATACAGCAATTGGAAGAGAAGTAACTGCCAAATTTGGGTTTGTCCTTTCAAGCATGTAAGGAGGCTCATTGAACTAATAGGAAAGACATTTGTCTCGGGCACCTGGGTGGCTCAGTCAGTTAAGCATCTGACTCTTGATTTGGGCTCAGGGCATGATCTCGGGGTTGTGGGGTGGAGCCCCACGTCCAGCTCCACGCTCTGTGCAGAGTCTGCTTCTCCCTTTCCCTCTGCTCCTCCCCCTGCTCTCTCTCTCTCTCCTTTCCTCTCTCAAATAAATAAAATTAAAAAAAAAAAAAAAAGGAAGACAGTTGTCTGCTTTAACCTCAGATGTATAGCCCTTTCCTTAGTCCATCCTCTTGAAAGGAGCCTTTACTTAAATCACCTCTATAGCATTTCCTTAGCTGCTAACATCAACCAGCCAGCTAACACAGGGGAGAGCAGAGTTTGGTACTAGAAGGAATCTGGATACTATTTAAACCAAACATCTCACTTTCAAAAGCCCAGAGTAGGCTAGTTTGCCAAAGGAGATACATAATTCATAATTTGTAACAGAGCTGTATTTAGAATCCAGATCTCTTGAAACCCAGAATAAGATTTTTTCCACTTTGCCATTCTGATTTCAAGCAGAAACGAGATACTTTTCAGATACATTATTTGGAAAATTCTTTACTGACTGGAAGGTTGGGCATTCAACTCTAACCACCTAACAAACCCCTTAAGTCTCTTCCTAATAAAATTATATAATTTTTAATACAGTAAAACAAGATAGTATAATTTTTTTTTTTTTAAGATTTTATTTATTTATTTGACAGAGAGAGAATGAGAGAGAGAGCACATGAGAGTGGGGAGGGTCAGAGGGAGAAGCAGGCTCCCCGCCGAGCAGGGAGCCCGATGCGGGACTCGATCCAGGGACTCCAGGATCATGACCTGAGCCGAAGGCAGTCGCTTAACCAACTGAGCCACCCAGGCGCCCCAAGATAGTATAATTTTTTAAAAAGGCTCAAATCAGGCACTTTTGGTTCTTTCTGCAGCAAACCACACTGGATGGGGGTTAAGATGGAGCTCTATGGTGTTGTGTGCTCTATTGTGGTAGATAGTGTCTTAATGGGGCTTTCCTACAGTAGGATCTTGTAAGATGGTTATCCTGTAGCCAGTGAAATAAGAATGTAAACTATCAAAATGCAGTGGTTAGCATTGAGTGCTCTGATTTCCTTGAGAACAAAATAAGAAAGGAAGAGAAAAGACCCTGAGAAAGAAACTATAGTTGAAGTTTAAAAATTATAAATATAAGATTATTTCTATAATTATTAAGTTAATACTTAATCTTTCAGATAGTTTTCTACATTTAAAAAGCAGTAAGGAAGGGGCAGGAAGAAACATAACAGGTTTATCTTGTGGAAACTACTTGTAAAATTGATGTGACTCTCTTTGTTGCTTTATTTTTTTCATTTCACGGTTTTCATCTCAGCAGAGGACTGTCCCAGTCTACTTTTTCCCTTTTTTCCTTGTTCCTAGTATCTTTTTTGCACCTCCTTACTCCATCTCAAAATCGGACATATCATCTGTTTTA